GCAGGCGGGCCCGGTGGCTTCGGGCCCAATTCCCAGTGCAGAGGTTGTTTGCTGCAGCCCCGCAATCTTTTGCCCCTCCTTCCCGCCCCCCCTTTCCCCTTTTTGTTTTTTTGCCCCCCCCCCCCCCTCCCTCTCTCCCCCCCTCGACCCCCCCCCCTTCCCAGGTGCTTCCGGTGCTCGCGACGGTGTCCGTGGACGCGCTATCGCGGCTGATGCCGCGCCGCTGGTTCGAGGCCGACCTCCCCCCCTCGCTGCCGCGTCGCCGGCGCGCGAGCCCTGCCGGGAAGAGCGCCGCCGGCGGCCACCGGCTGCGGGCATTTGTGGTCTGGGTAGCGGCCCTCCTCCTTTTCTGGGCGAGAGATAGCCGAGAGATAGGCCGAGAGATGGGGCGAGAGATAGCCGAGAGATGGGGCGAGAGATAGCCGAGATAGCGTCCGAGTGGAGGGAGTACTGCGCTTCTGGCTTGGCGTGAGATGGGCGAGATACAGCCGAGAGATGGGGCGAGAGATAGCCGAGAGTTGGGCGAGAGAGAGGGCGAGAGAGCGGAAAGCAGCTGCCTCCCCGACGGGGGAGGGACGCGACCGCGACATGTCCAGGACATGTCCCATAGGGATCGGTGTGCGCGCTCGCGCTCCACGCGGCGCCCGTGTCGGTGCCGCCACCGCCCTCGCCGCCACCGCCCTCGCCGCCACCGCCCTCGCCGCCACCGCCCTCGCCGCCACCGCCCTCGCCGCCACCGCCCTCGCCGCCGCCGCCGCCCTCGCCGCCGCCGCCGCCTTCGCCGCCACCGCCCCTCGCCGCCGCCCCCAAACCACTGCGGCACCCGGAGCACCACACGAGCCGCTGGTTGGAGCCGAGAGCCGCGCAGCCGTCCCACTCGGCACCGCCGGCACACCGGCACACCGGCGCCCGACACTTTCCGATCCCGCGCGGCGCCAGGTGACGCTAGACGGCCACCGCACCTCGCTCAACGGCCTCAAGTTTGCCTGGGCGTGGGGCTGCGCGCTTCGCCCTGACCGG